TAAAAAGGTATTTATATTTATATTTTGATTAAATAAAAAATATTTTTTGTAAAATGTTCAAATGTATGTACTAAGTTTGGATATCTTTTAGTTAATTTTATTGCCACTAACAAAAAACAATAAAATAAAAATTTAATTGAAAAATGTAAAATCTAAAAGAAAAAAATCTGTCAACTCTTTTTAAATTTCAGTGTTGATCTTGCATGAAATTGCATACAATTAGCTGCATAGCTTACTCTGTCATATTAACAAAATAATAGCACAAAAGCGAGCAGGAAGATCGGACCAAAATAAAGAATCATTAATCTAAACAGAACTATTTACAAATTTGTGAAAGTAAAGAGAATATGGCGTATTTCAAGTTGCTCGCTACGTTTCTGGTAGCGGCCATTGTGGGTCTCATCTATTTCATTGTGATATTGTTTATATATTATATTTAAAGGGTATATGGCAATTATGGCATCCACCGGAGGGTATGCGTGAGGGCTATAATAATTGAATGTATTTACTGCCTTAGCTAAATTTTAAACTTGGATGTAAAAAAATTGATTGTAAGCGGGAAAAAAAAATTTTGCAAAAAGTTTTATAAATTAAACATTTTTCGAAAATGCTTACCAGAAAGTGTTTTCGGGCGATGCTTTTTGGTAAGACGGTGGTCTGTAAGAGAGAGAAGAAAATTTTTAGTTAAACAAAAGCATTTTGATTTATAAAGCTGATACGAAATTAGTAATATTTTGTGGAGACAAATAAAATATGATTACTAAACAAAACAAAAATTGAAAAGTTGAATCTTTTGAAAATTTTTTGTTCAAACCACGTAGATAATGCTAGCCCAAACMACAAAAAAATTACAGTTGGGTGTCTTAGATAATATGCTCAGTCTCGGTGGATTCAATTTGTTCGACTTGCTTTTTTAAGGTTCATGGTGATAAAAGTTTCAAATATTTTCTAAAAATTCTACTGAAGTGATCAGTATCAGCAAGACTTTCTATAGTCATTTGCGGCGCTATCACAATCCCCAAAGTCGTTGTTGTAGCAGCTGAAAACATCTGTAAAGTAATTTGCAGGAACTCTGCCGGTCTTAGAGTTCTTAGTCGGTTGAAAAACCGGGACCGTTCCGACTACACAGACCCGAAAGTCAGGAGTACGGACAATCCTGTCCAACAACTGTAAAAAATGGTCTGCTTCCTGAAGTAAGAAAAAATCCTAAAAGGAGGAGGCGCAGTCAGAAACACTATGCAAAACAACACTAATTTTTACCCCAAGGTTTCGGAGTTCAGGTCCCTAAAACCACCAATTTCACTATAAAAAATGCTTAATGTCAACAAAGCGGGATTTCGAAGACGCTACTGGCGGGCGTTGAAGCTTTGAAGATTTGAAGATTAGCTGTGCATAAAAAACAGATCAGATAACTTTTGTAAAGGATTATTCCTGCAACCTGTTCTTTTTTCGACCAAAAGTCTATATTTAACTTTGCTATCGGACTACCTAATACTGAAACTATTTACAAAATTATGAAATGAAGCCCGGAGCTCGTCCGTAATACTGTCGGCCTACCTGATACCGAAAATATTCCCAAAAATATGCTATGCGGCACGTTAGCTCTGCCGTAACACTGTCTTCTCTCACGCTCTCTCCCAATTTAAGGCATGCTAGCTCATAACTTACTTAAATTTCCTTCATGTTAACAATTAATATTTTCATTTTGTTATTTCATTTGGCTTGATAAATTGTCATTATTTTTTAATCGTCTACTCGCGACATTTTCGGTAGCCACTTTACAGTAGCTTCGAAATAAATCCCGACAAATCCGTCGAAATAAATATTTTTCTTTTTCATTATCTGCGCATCTGGAACACTTTAAAACATTTTTTTTTTTTGCCTGTTTTAATATTTTTCGAACGTTTTGCTTATTGTTTTCGTATTTAAATGCCCGTTAAGGCATTGTTAGTGCGTACGTGCGACGGTGTCGCTGGTGGCGAGTGACGCGACGCACGTCACGAAAGCTTGTTGGGGCCTATCGCTGTCAGCTCATCAACAATGAGATGTCTCAGTGTCGCAGAGCAGCCAAGTGTACGTTGTTGTAGTTGTTTTTTTATATACTTGTATTTTGATTTTTTCTGTGTCTTTTGGTCGCAGCGTTGCACGTACACGGCATCAGTAAGTAAGTGGTGTGCTGCCTCATAAAAGAAAATGAGAATAACGACAATGTGGTGTTTGTGGTAAGCGGAGAGCTGGGGCAATAAAGGTACTCATATATGACTACTGACTTCAAGTAAGACGCTGAATAATTTTTAAGTGATCTGTAATATTTTCATTTTTCGAATCAAGTCTACTTGTATAAAACCTAAACCTGGATTCACCTATAATTGCGGTCGTCTGTTAAACAGCACAACTTGTCACCACACTTAAACGGCTATAACTTTGGTAATAATTTGAAATTTTTCCTTTTAAAGAAATATTTTTGAGTAACTAATTTATCGGTTACCAAAATTTTGATTTTTGAGCTTTCCTTTACTTTTGGAAACAATTTTTTCTAGACCAAAATATCTACTTAGGTGAAGCCTTAAATATCAATAACACATAAAAATCATAAATGAAACCTGAGATAAGTGAACTTTCATGGAATCCGTTCTTTATGCGATCGAAAATTTTTTTTCGACTCTCATATCGGACCTTAGAACCCCACACATATTCAACTTCCAATGTTTTCTTTCTGTACTCTCGGCTTTTACTCACTTCCACGCAAATATTTCTTAAGCACTTTGCGCTAAATTCTTGAACTGCACCGCTTGCGCTTCACACTTTGGCTAATAGATAAAAAGACATTTACAGTTCTGCAACACTTTTGGCACCGCCATTCTTCTTAAAATTGTGTTTTTTTGTTGCCTCGAAATATAGTACAGTTGTTGCAACTTCTGGCGCAACGCGTTGCCTGCAACAGCGTAATAATAATCGTAATTGCAAGCGTCGCTTTTACATAATGAATATTGCTGGGCGCGCGCTCAGCAGCGGAATCCATTTGCTGATTAATTTTCTGGCCATATTGCCACGACGATAAAGTCACGAAGAACACAAAAAAGCAGAAAGCAAATTCAGTGTGAGAAGCATAAAGTTAGGTCACAAAGGGTGACCGGTTGCAGAAAAGAGGGGTTATAAGCATTTTTGGGAAGGCTGCTGGTATTACGTATGCACTATCATGGCCGAAATTCATTTGTCGTTAGTTTATTGCAGATACATAGATGTATTTCTGGTTCTATCCGATTGAGATCTTAAATTTAAGTCATAAAAATATAGCTTGTTCAAATAGTGAAGCCGCTCGACCTCCCTAAGCGACAACATTTCGCTTTTGGCTCTTGAAAAGTTCAAAGGATATCCGATGTTTCCGAGCAAAATTTTGTTCAGAGATGAGACCCATTTCTGGCTCAATGGATATGTAAACAAGCAAAATTGCCGCATTTAGGACGCAACCCGAAGAGATTCAAGAGCTGCCATTTCATCCAGAAAAAACAACGATTTGGAGTGGTTTGTGGGCCGGTGGAATCATCGGTCCATATTTGTTTAAAACGGATGACGGCGAGAATGTAACCGTCAATGGCGACCGTTATCGCGTCATGATAACCGAAAAAGACGGCACCACTTTCCACACATTGCATCAATCAAACGGATTTATTGAGAGAACTCTTCGGTGAGGAGACAAATTCACGTTTTAGGTTTGTCGATTGGCCACCAAGATCATATGATGTAACACCATTAGACCTTTTCCTGTAGGAATATGTGAAGTTGAAGGTCTATGCGGACGAATCCGCTTCGATTCAGTCGAAATGCTCGAACGAGTCATCGAGAAGTGGACTCAACGGTTGGACAAACTGAGACGTAACCGCGACCAACATTTGAAATAGATAATCTTAAGAAAATCAATTTCAAAGAATGTTCTTTCGAAGGATAATAAGTATTCTCTATTAAATCTGATGTTTCTGTGTTTTTTTTTTTTAAGTAGGGAAGCTCGAAGTTTTTTTTTCAATATTTTCGTTATAAAGGAAAAAAAAATCAATTGATAATTTACTCTGTATTAAAATTTAATTTAATTTCTTAGAAAAAAGCCTAAAATTTTTTTTTCTTTTTTAATATCTGTATAGTAATATTTTTTCATACTTCATGATTTCTGCAAAATTATAATAATAAACTATATACAAATTTTGTTTAATTTCTTAAAAAACCTTAATTAGAACATTTCTATTAATTTTTTTATATAAAATTTTAAACAAAAATGGTTTCTTAGTCAACATGTTTTAGATTTTTGAAATGGAAATAATTAAAAATTTAATTTTCTCATCTAATTCAATTCAGAAAATTAATTTTTAATTTTAAGTTTCCTAATTAAATAATTTTTTTTAATTACTGCCTTGTTTAATTATTTTCTATAATAAAAATATAAAAAAGACAGTTGTCAATGATTATAAAGTTTAACTTAATTTATCCTACTTTATTTTTTTATTTTTTTATAATTTCTGTCTTATTTTATTAATTTTTTAATTTCATTTATACAATTTTATTATAA